TACATACACTACCTGTATCTGTAGTAGGAAACCAGCATTCTCTCTCTGACCTCTCCTTCAATCTTCTGGTCAATGACCAGTAGCATGACTCCATATAAATACAGTGCTTCACACTGTTTGGAAAGAGAAACAATTGAGAAAGAAAGTAACATAAACCCAATTCTGTAGCAACATTTAAAGAAAACCACGTACTGGCAACCCAGCCCAATGTCAGCTATGCATTCAGTACATTATGTAAAATGGTACACTGAGGATTTTTGGTCTTTGTCCTCCTTGAAGTGAGTCACAGCATTTCCATGCATTTGGTAAAATCAAACTTTTGTCTAGTTTGGCACTAAATACTTACTAGCAGCTGTTTTCCATCTTCATTAAGGAGTACCGTTTCTAACGTTTGCTGAATGTAAATTCCTTCATTGAGGTCATCCAAGTATCTAGGAATCATGACAAAAAGTTGGTCATTGACAATTGTGCTCTCAAACCCTACATCCTCAGAACTCAATTGCTCAATTTTCTCTAAAAGTCAACAGATGTATCAGAACATTTCCCTAGCACAAGCAGTGGGGAGCTTTTCAGACAAAGAAGATGAGATGCTCTACTATAAAATGAGGGACTGGAACTCCTAGCTAGTGTAAACCGGTTGGCAAAAGTCTCCTTTCATATCCTGGTGATGTATGGGAAGAACACTAGAAGATAGCTGGTAATTTACAGCTCACCCTCTTAATCCTGCTATAAATGGATAATAGCCTGAGAAGGCTTCCATGTGAAAATTTAGTAGAACTGTCATATTTTCAAGTTACCTCAAAAATACCTCCTGGAAATACCATAAATTGATTTCAATCGCAATTTGTAAGGTAGAGCTAGAAACAGAGTATGTTCACCTTAATTAACAGAAGATTTATTCCTATTAAAGGATTTTCTAGTAATACTACTTATTAGTAAGCAATATTAAATATTTATTATTTCCATATAAGATCAATAAAAAACTAATTATCATGCTTAAGATTCTCAGGAACTTTTTCTTAGAGCATTTAATGAACCTTTCATTTTGTTTTTACAGGTCAGAGCAGGAAACTTGAGAATTTGGCAATTCCACTGAAAATTTAAGTTCCGGAAAATAATGCAAATGAAAGGTAAAGAAAAAACTACCATACCAGATATTCTGTTTAGCAAGGCCACAAAAAACTTTGCTTAATGACAAGGAGCCTTCTTGTACTACAAAAACATCTTTAGGACAATCTCCAAGATAAAGAAGAAAAACTAGCTTGAGCTTACAATTGGGGAAATGAGGTAGAGAGAGTAAATGTTTTCAAGTCATATATTAAGCTGCTAGGCAATAGTTAAAATCAATGTTCACTACAGTTATCCAGATTATCCACAGGTATTTCAGACACCATACCTGCTTAAATCTACAATGTATTTATGTACACTCTGGAAAGCTAGATAAAATCTTGTCAAAATTTCGATGTTGTTTTCACGAAATTCTTCATCTAAATCCAGTAACTCAGGCTTGGCTTCCAATTTCCCTTCACATGCCTCAGGCCCCTAAGAAAAGAAATTCATCTTTAGAGACAGTATTTGACTTTGACCTCTATTTGACTTCTCTTCAGTAGGACACAGACCATGTACAACCACCACTGTGGGCAAACCAGAGTTGACATTCCTTGCTGAAACAAGGATCTGCAGTTTTCCAAGCTACTTTATGATTGAATATTGATTCCATAAAGATGAGTTTTACACTTTGTTACAATCTGCAATGATTTAAAGTATGATTTCTCCTATGTAACCAGTGGAAAAGAACAGTCAATGCTTTTGCTTAAGCTCTAATGCATCTGAAGCCACTGGGTGCTTTTTGTTGTGCTAACTATCTCCTGGATGGAATTTTTTTCTTTAAACATTTGATCTGATTGATTTCTCAGATAGAAACCATTACATTGAGGGCTCACAAAGCTTTGTACCTTCTGATACATTCAAATTGCTTAAAAGACCTGTTTTACAGACTCTGGGTCTAGCTCAGCACTTGTCCCTGAGATTAATGCATAAACTGTTATTTACAATTGTGGGGGGGAAAGGGTTATAACAAACAGCCTGACTTCCTTAAAGCAGTTATACAACTTTTCTAACTTTTTACCACTGCCAAATTTCTCATAACCACTATTTGGTCTTGCCATAGCCATCTAAATGAAAATACTGTTAATGTTTAATTGAAAATATTAGTAACACTTAGTTGAAAATACCCAGCCGACAATTTCTTGAGCTTTAAAAATTAATTTCTGCTTCTCTTTTTGTACAAAATACCTATAAAAACCAAAGGATGAAAGCAGACCTCAAACTGCCCATGAAGTTCAAATGTACAAAGTAAACAGTCTCAACTTTCAAAATCTCAAATCTCTACTCATTAGGTAATTCTAAGAATCATTAATACAGAACTGGTGCATTCGCAGTAAAAATACCAGTAAATTCACTAATCTTAGTTTTATAAATAAGGCTTCTCTGGATTTTTGGGATTATAACTGAAAAACAGCACACTGTTATGCTTCCTTAACATTCAAAAATACTACAGGTTCAAGGATTATTGTATTTCTTAACAATTATAGCTATCTGTTTTGAAATTTTCAAGTAATTTGTGCAAAGAAAAAAAAGACTTCTAACAAGCACTTCGATCTAAAGGTAATTGTGAAATCATTTGTGCTCAGGACTTTCAGTATCCAAGGCTTACAGTTATTGCTTGAAATTTACAACTCTTACTAAAATAAAACAGAATACAATTTTAAAAGCCTCCGCCTCCCCACTTTACTATTAACATTTCTTGTACTATACAAATAGACAAATAAAGTCAGATTAGATAGTCCTGTAGTTCCCTCTTAAGCATGCTGGAAAACAAAAGAGGGAACTTAGTCCTGCAAGTAGCTTATTTTGAAAAGGAAATACGGGCTTTCCACAGATACTACTTGATTTATTTATTTATTCAGCACACGTGACAAGTCCAGCGAACGAACAATCACAGCACTGTCAGACAGGAAAGCAGAACTCAGTTTTCGTGGCTGCAAAGAATAGGCTACAGATAACCCAAGAAAGATGGGCATACTGCCCACAGTATGCTCTGAAGGAAAACAACCAACTGCACAGGCTCAAAACCTGCTGGTGAAAGTATAACGCAGTAGTTCTGCAGGAAGAAATAACAACAACACCAGAATCCAATACTCACATTTTGTATAACTGGTATCTATCAAAGGTTACAGGGCAGATAACATCAAACATTTTGGGACTGCTCTTGGACGCACCTAGAACTGCCACTCTATTCCTGCCCTGATACTTTCAGTGCAGATATTACACTTCTATGCTGCCAAGGGCTCCGGGCACAGAACCTTTCATAGACTGTTTCCACTTGCTGAAATCAATAAGATGAGGCTGAGTATGATCAAATGTATATAAAACACTAGTCAGCCCCGAAGCAGAACATTAGCATCCAAACATCTTGCTACCTCAATCTGGTTAATTTTTGGTAAAAACTAATCAAGTCATGATAATCAATTCTGAAGAATGCTGGTAATAAACACAATAGTCAGGAATGGCTGTTTCATAACCTGAAGCATCCTCATGCGGGACAGCAATGCTTTTAAAGTTTAACAATGAAAGGACTTACCTTAAAATAACTGAAATCAAATATGATATCCCCATACTTCTGTTGATCAGCCTTATCCTTTAGCCTGAAAACACCAGGAATAAATTCGGACAGTCTCAGAAGTTCTGCAATGATGGCATTTCCACAGGAGACAATCCGAAGAATTGCCTGACCACACAGATTGTTTTCAGCCAGAAAATCCACCATTGTGGAGCTGAATGCAACAGAGTAGCAGGTCGTGCAGTCCAAGTCCAATGATTAGCCTTTAGATTATTTGAAGCAAAAAGCCTGGTGAGGAAACTAGTTGCGCCATGAATAACCTGTAAAAACAAACCCAGACGCGTTCAGAGTGCTTTGTGTTCATGTGTTTGATAGTTTGTGTATTTTTAAGAATACTCTCCTATATGAACTCTAAATTATCACAGCTTTGTGAAATGAGAAAAAAAAAAAAAAGCACTGACTTCAGCATGTACACTGTGTTTGACACAGTGACCTGCGTGGCCAGGCAAGGGAAGCACGACCTTTTGTACCAGGAAAGTTGAAGAGCACTACTGAGGAATGAAACGGTCTCAAATCCCGAAGCAATCGTGACCACGACTGGGAGATGAGAGCAAGGAAAGCAAAACCACCTCACAACGTGCGTTTTTAAGAGTCACTTTAAAAATACAAACAAAGTGACCGCAATGGGCTTCAGCAACAAGGAAAACTTTTATCGCACATAGAAATGACACGGCTCTCTTCCTTTACTTATTGCTGAAGGACTCGCTTCCATGCTGTGGTTGCATTTCCTGGTCACGGTCTTATTCCTGACATGCTTCCTGCGGGATGGGGCGCGCACCACCGCTAAAAATAAGAGCCTGTATTTCAGAAACATCTATGCGAAATTATTGATCTGGCTTGATTTTTCACCAAAAACCTTCCGAACCACTGCGACAAATTCAAGATGACAGCGAGCTGTCCCAAAAATGTTCTGGCCTATCCGGGCGCCCGGAGTTCCCCCCCGGTCCGGTCCCCAACGCCGTCCCCGCAGAGCGCACCGCGGGGACCGGACCCGCAGCGCCCGGACGGGCACCGAACCCATCCCATCCCACCCCACCCCATCCCGCCCCACCCCATCCCATCCCGCTCCGGCGCCGCCGGACTCACGGTTTGCCCACAGCCGCCCCCGCCGCCCCAGCCCGGCGCGCTCACCCTGCCCCGGCAGCGCGGGGGGGACGGCGGCGGACAGGGAGGGAGGTGAGGGCGGACGGAGGGATGCAGGGAGGCGGCAGGCAGGGAGGGAGAGATGGAGGGAGGGAGGCGGCGGCGCTCCGTGCGACGCGGCCCAGCACTCCCGTCACATGACGGCGCCGGCTGATGAGGCCATTCCGCCTGCCCCGGTGCCCGGCGGGGCCGCCGCCGTGAGGGGCCGCCCGGGACAGCAGCACCTTCGGGCCGCCACGGCTGGCACCAGGTGAGCTGCGGCCGCTGGCGAGGGCGGCTGCCCCGCCGGCCCATTCCCATCCCCTGAGCGTGACTGCCCATGGACGGGGTGAGGCAGGGACAGGGCTGGGACAGCGGAGCTTCCTGCCCGGCGGGCGCTGCTCCCGACCCCCGTGGCGGGGAAGCATCATCTCCCCGTGGCAGCGGGTCACCGACTGTGTCCGGGGCTGGACACTGACCCTGCTGCTCGGTGGGCACTTGTCACCTGTGGAGCTGGTGTTACAGAAGTAACTCTTTTTTTTTTTTTTTTTTTTTCTTTTTTTAATCTCTTGGGAAGTTGAAGAAGCGTAGAGAGTTTAGGTCATTTTGCTCAAATATTTAAGGGACAAAATAGACACTGTAAGTTTTTGTGCTTTAGCTTGTCTGGACCATTAGGTCACTTGTTGAAAGAAGTGAAAGTGGCCTTGGTAGTAATACTTGGGCTCCTTTTCAGCCTTGGTTGTATTTTTCAGAGATGAGGGGTCTGGGGGTTGCAAATTATGAGTACTTCATCGATGCACCCATTTAAGACCTTCATGGCAAAAAAAGAGTGCCTTAAAAACACTGCTGTGGAACCCTTTCAAGTGAGGAACGTGGCCTTTCCTCAGGAGGCAGATTGTAGAGCTGCAAGCTGAAGCTGAGGAGTTCACTTAAAAAATCCAAGAGTGAAATCTTTGATGTAGGAGGGTGGAGGAACTGCTGACTGGCTCAAAACAGCCGAGTTGGGAAGTGGTGGGGGAACAGGGCTGGCCTGCTGTAAGCCCCAAAACAGCAGACTGGGGCAGGCAAAAGTGGTCCATTTCCTTGGCTTTAGAAGCTGCTGAGGCCATGCTGGATCCTTGGGTGGTGACCATCTACCTTTCTCTCTACCTTTTCTTTCTCTCACTTTCTTCTCCTACCTTCTTCTCAAAATACATTGTAATCTGGACCACAAAATTCCAGTAAGTGCTTTGTTTTGTCTGGATAAGTTAAAAATTGCTAATTTAAAGTTTGCAAAATGCCTTATTTTGTTTCAAATGTTTTCAAATTTGCCAAGTACCTTATTGTACCCGAATGTTCTAAAGTTTGCAAGTAAAAGTTGTTATTGAATCCTGTGAGAATTTGGTTGTTTCTCCTGCACACTGCCCAGGGCAAATCCAACTGCCTTCCCCTAAACTCATTGAGTGGGCTGGGACATTGCAGGATCCTAAGCAGTTTCTAAGAAAAATAATAATTTATTAAAAAAAAAACAAAAAAGGGAGAATTCATCCAGAAGAGATTACTTCCAAATGACAAATCGAGATGAAACTACCAATGCAATGGCATGATTTAATATTATTACCAGTAACTTCTGCTTCTGTGCACTTTAGTCAGTGCTTCCACAAATATCAAAAGAATGACGGAGTCTTTTTAACTTCACTGTTGTTTTTTTTTTTCTTTTTTTCAGATTCCTGCCTTCACAGTGTGTATCTGTGAAATTTCCAAAAGAACAGCAGGGTTTCTCAATGAGATTTACCAAATTCAGGAAGGGAATTGTTAACTGTTGACTTTGATACACTGAATTGGTCCAGTAAGATAAAGCTGCTCACATGATCCTATGTGACTTTTTAGTAGTGTATGTTTGGATCACAGAGGTTCTATACAAACAGTCTTGCTAAATGGCAAACAGGTACTTAAAAAAAAAAGTAAATAACGTACCAGGTGAAGGAATTGGTTATTAAATCTTTAAGAGCATCCTTTTCCTGTACTTTCAAGGGGTTCTATAAGGAACTTTTTCCTTGTCTTCTCTTCTCAGTTTGACAGATATGAAGATGTCTAATGATAGCTATTGCTGTCTTTTGGCAGGGAGACTATGACCTGACATAACTAGAGCTGTTGTTGGAGCTTGCTCCCTCCTCTGTGGCAAGATGCACCTTTAGAAGGGAATAGAGAGGAAGGTAATTTATATGTAATGAAGCAGTTCAAGTTGTGGTGAAGTTGGACTGTTGTTAAAATGTTGCTGGAAGCACATGACCTAAAGATGGTGTACTGAGAGATAGTATTGACTGACCAAGCACATTTTATAAATGGAAAAAAAGGACAAGAAATAGACATTAGAAGAAAAGAGGGTGTGATAGCAGGTATTCAGGTCTCATAGTCTGTATGGTATGTGTGAGGAATGTAGCAATGTTGTTCGGGTTAGGGTGAGCACAACGTGTAGTTCTGGAGTCTCAGGGAAAGCAGTAGAGGGAGATACAGCTTAAGGTATGCAAATCTTGGGCAAAGCATTGTACTTTCTATTTAGGTATTTTCCAGATTACGGTTGGATTATAGCCTGTCAAAGGCTGCAGTTGATGGAACAACTCATTCCCTTGTTACTTTGTGTACTCTTCAGATAAAACTTCTGGTTTAAAAATTTAGTTGTGGATTCTACTTTCTATTTCACCCAACAGCATCTCAATATAGTCGTTGAACATATTAGTTATTCTTTGTATGGACTAATGCACTATTTCTGTCTATCTAAGACTTTATGTTTGTTGTGTTTTTCTTTTTTTTTCTGTTGTATCTAAAGCTGAATCAGAATTTTTCTAATCTACATTTTGAAGTATAAAATTCTGCACACTAGATTCATGTTTCTCACAGTAGCTACATGTCTGAGTGAGTTATGGCAAAGGATGAAGAAGGAAGAGCAGAAGTTGGGATTTCTGAGAAGAAACCAACAGATGTGAGCAGTGTGGATAGGCACAGCATAAGCAAAACCACTTGAAGGTTGTATTAATGACACAAGAGGAGCAGTTAATCCCCTCAAGGCTGTAGGTTGTGGATGTGTACTGGAAAATCAGAGGGTGGTAAGGAAGATAAACATGATACCTGCGTGACTTTATTTTGTACTGATGGAATATGGGTACTAAAAGTTTGTAGCATCTTTGGGGGAAGTAGACAGCATTTGTAAGATGGGCTTTTATTTAAAAAATATTGCTAGGTGTTTTACTATTAAGTACATTCTTAGTAAAGTGGTCTTTTGTTAGATTATTTTTTCCAAGGGCCAGCTGCTGGTGAGGCTGAATTAAATGAGAGAAATCATATTTCTTTCTAGTCTAATTGAAAATACACCTAGAAAACACAGACACATTTTTTGGGCAAGTTGGCTTCTTTGGACCTGAAATAGAACAGTAATTTTCAAGCAGACATAATCGATGAGTTTGAACTTCGTTGTGGTTTAGCAATAGAAATGAGCAGATGAAAACTGCCAGTTGCTTTTTGTGGTGTAGTTTTGCTTACTATTGAATAGGAGGTGAATTGAAAACCTGTGGTGAATTGCAGTTTCACTGAAATTACTGACATCTTGGGAGCTAAGTTTTCATTCCTGCTCCCTGAGGTTTCAGTGGTTCTGTTGACACTGCTTTATAGTCAGCTATACTTATGTTTTTCTCCCAAATTCTTTTCATTTTAAACTGTATTTAAAATGTTGTTCCTGTTATTTCTAGAGTAACAATTTCAAGATGTCAGGTGGTGCAAAAATCCCGTTCAACATAATTGATACTGCTCTTTCTTCACTGAAGAACTCCCAGTCCTTCATCAGCTCTGGAATGGATATTGCTACTAAGACTGCCTTAGATCTTGTGGAAAGTTTCAGTAAGTATATTCTCTCTTCTATTATATCCTGAATCTAACAGATGAGTCCTAGACTCATCTGTTATTTGACTATTTTGACTTACTTACTGTCAATATTTATCTTCATTATAGGAGCTGTAGCTCCTCTGGCTAGGCCAGGGTGTTTTCATTCCAGTCATTTCACTGTCTTAAATAATAAATTCAGTGAAAATGTAAATACCAGGAAAGCATTGTCCCTGCTTTTGTAATACCGAAGACTAATTGTGTTCCAGTGGTTGTTACCCTACAGCTTTGTATAGACTTTAAAGTTGTTGAATGAATTGGAGAAGGCCCCTTAAGTGGGTGAATAAAATGACTTTTCATTTTCATACTGCTTCTTTGCGTTGTGTTTTATTTGATGTTTAGGGAAAGATATATTAGAATAATGCTAAAAATGTTGAGAAGAAAGCTTGAGACACTTGTTAGGGGATGCAGTTTTATTAAATGCTGTCTCTGCTGAAAATCAGGCCTTTTTAGAGTGCTTCAATTTGGACATTTTGGAGGGGGTGCATTAAATCTGGAATCACTGCTAACAGTTTTGTCATTGGTGTTTCACAGTAAAAGGGGCAATGCAAAGCTGCTTTTCAAAATAGCCAAACCCTGGTATTTTTAATCAAGAGTGGAGTGTGGAGATGAAAGTTTTGCTGTTCATTATAAATCTTTGTGTCAGCTAAGCCAAGGATTATGTGCAATCAAGATGAATGTTTTTCTCTTTGTCTAGTGTGATAGTTCTCTCTCCTTTGACCTTTTTATCCATACTTTTGTCAAAGACAATTAACATGTAATTTCCAGTGGGTAGAGGAAATGGAAAGCTTGTGTGAACAGTCAGCTGGGGGTTCCCTCTGAGGTAAAACTCATGTAACCAGTTCTGTTTCCTCTCTGCTTTAGCAGTCACCCTCTCTCCTACTTTGCCATAAGCAGTGCAAGGAAGAACATTGAATGTATTCAATTCTCTCCTCCCCAGGACCACAGAAATTATTTATACAAAAGGTAAAAGATATGAGTGATTTCCCCTTTCATTAGAAGCCCCTGTTGCACTCCTGTTGGGAGTCAGCTCCACTGTGCCGGTCTGCATCTGAAAGTCTGTGCCTTGTACTCCTAGAAAATGCCTCTTCCTCACATACCTGCTTCTGAAACATTAATCTTTAATTACAACCTTGACAATATTTTGTCCATTTAATTCAGTAACCAAAAGGGCCGTATTTAGCATTCTATTCTGAAAGGAGGAGATTATTCCTGATGAAATACCTATGGTCATTGTTACAGTTAAGTCACATCATGTGACTGGAAAACAGCTCCTAGATCATAACACATTTTAGTTTAGCAGAGGAAACTTTCCTGTGGAATCATAGTTACAGAATTATCAAGCACAACCTTTCAACATAGTCCATTCCAGAGAATGTATTCCAGACTTTGATTTGCAGATTATACTTCTTTGGTCTGGTGTTACAGAGTTAGATTTTACAGTAGTTGTTTTCTTCACTCTTACACTTTTCCTTGCAGGCTTATGTACATGGAACAAACAAGTAGTGAAGGTCCTCACTTTTGTAAGGTTTGGTTTTCATTCCCCTGACTACTCCACTTGGACTTCAAGTTCTTGTGCTCTTTACAGAATGCCATCAGGAAAGATGCTGGGTTTCTGTGGCGTGATATGCTTTGGTGTTTTAGAATTAGCATCATCTCATCTGCTGGACTTTACTGTTCAGCTCTTACCTCCAGCTCGTACGTGGTAATTTTTGTTTCTAGAGTTGTTAACTTGTCCATCCTACTTTTCCTTCATGTTCTGAGGCAAAATACTAATTTAATTTTGAGAAAGAATTAGATAATATATTTCTGTGTTCTTATTGCTGTCCCATTGGCAATTTGCTTTAATTCGCTTTGGAAATTTAACTGTCCAGCTTCTGACAGGTTTCATTGCCAGGCTTTGTAGAAGCAATGAATTCTGTTGTGACTGTTTATTTTATCTTACAGGCACTTTTTCTGTGGATATATTTTGTTCGTTTGGTCTTTCATACTGGATAATGCTGTTTTTCTGGAACAGTAATGAAATTTTTTGTAGCAAGTACATGAGAAAAATTTCATTTACATTTAAAGATAAATAACAGAAAAGCAGGCAAAGTTAGTGTAGTGAGTGATCTGTTTCCCCTCTTTTATTCCTATTCTTTACAAGCCAAATCCTAAAAACATTTACTGTTAAATGTATTTATTAAACGTTTATTTTTTTCTAGTCCTGTATAGATTTATGAAAAGAAATTACTTGTGTTAAATATTCGAGTCAGACATTGCTCATTTATGAACTTATACAATCTTTAGAAAAATAAGTCAGTTTCTGTTAACTGCTATTAATTTAGGTGCAGAATAATTTTAGTGCATCTGATCCTGAAAACCTTTTATTTTTTAAATCATTTTGTTGATGTCCATGAAGTTAAATTGTTGATTAAGACCTCCCTATCCGTTGAGACCCTGCTGACTTCTAGCATTGAGCATTGGTGGTGTGTTGTGAGCATGTGCTGGCAAAGAGACAAAATTTTAAAGATCCTGTAAGGGATTAAGGATCTGTATGTAGAGATGACAACAAATTTCATCAGACTGAGTATCAAAGGGAAAGAGGCAATTTAAAAACTCATTTTATTTAATGATTTAAAAAGAAATTTAAGTCTTTTGCCCTTCTCAGTCTTTTTGCTGATTATCTTTAGATACTGACATTGTCTAAAACTTGTATTTTTCTCTTTAAAGAACACTGTTGTGGTACAGAAACATTTTAAAATGTTATAAAATATATAAAATATAAAAAGCCCATGTAAGCAGAAAATCCGACTGTGCACAGTTGGTTTCAGTATGTCCCACCTGTGCTCAAAACACTCTTGGGTGTCCTGTGGCCCAACCTAATAATATACTGAAGGAAAGGATACACTGGTATTCTTGGACCACCTTGAGTGATCCACCAACATTTGGAGGGTCTGTATATTTTAAAGCTTAAGCACATGCTTATATCCTTTGCTCGACTGGAGTCCTAATAGATTTGAGAATTTGAAGGTGACACTGTTCAAAATCATTCGTAACACAAGTAAAAGCATTTTAGTTCTACTGTAATTTGCACCTTCCTAAATTTAGCCTCAATCTAGTTTTGAGCTTTAGTAGTGTGATTGAAAAAAGAATTCATTAAGTGGCTTGTTCAGCAGTGTCTCTCAACTGTAATGCTCTGAGTACTGAGCTTTAAGCCCTGTATTGACACCTCTGCACATGGAGGAGCAGGTGTTTGCATTGGTAATTTAACTTTTCTTGGTTGCTGAACTGTCTTTACTCGAACTACTCAAAGTAGTTCCGTAGAGTTAGAAAGCACTGCTGGACATTCATGTCAAATATTGGAACAAAAAGTCTTTTTCTGTGTTTTTGGAATTAGTGACACCTGCTATGTGTGTTGACTGATGTGCTGATAATGGTAAGAATGTGCTGGCCCAGGGTAGGTCTGGCATATCCATGACAGACATCTATTCCCAGCTTTGCTTAAAGTTTTTGGGTGTGAATTTGGTCAGCTTGCTGAGGATGGCAGTTCTATCTGACTTTTGGCAAGAAAACAGCAGAACTTTCTCAAGAATATGGGACTGTAAAGTACAGAGAGCTGTGGATATCAGAATGAAGAAGGTTAACTCATGGTGGTCCCCGGGCTTCTAGTCCAGCCGGTGTCCTTAGAGGGCTTGTTGCTTTTGTCTGGGATGGAGCCCAGATTCTGTGGGACTAGGAGGATTGTCCGGTACAAGTGGGAAATAATTGGAAGGTCTGGAGAGTATGCTAACTACAGACGAGATGATAAAAATTTCTTAGCATAAAACTTCTGAAAAGCATTTTAAAGCATGGATAGATAATGGGTTTTCTACTAGAAGGCAAGATGTTTCCTTGGTGTCTGGGACTATTCTAACCACATCCCATGCCCATAGTGAAGTGTGGAGGCCCTGAAGTGTAGAATAGCTGTGTGGGAAACAGTTACTGCAACTGAACTCTAATCTTATTAGGGTGAAAAAAATAGCTACTTTTCTTTTTCTTCAAAAACTTGCCCTAAAATGTCATGGTCATCTGCTACCCATGGCTGTTTGCCATCTGTATTACATGGCAGTGATCTTCCCGTAGCACTATTGGGGTCTGTGTGAGAATTCCTCTTTGTTTCCATGCTTTGAAGGATTTTTCTGCTCACCCTGTATGTACAGAACAGACTCATGGGTCTTAATAATGTTAGTGATAGGATTCTTTGGCATGTGCTCCAGATTAACTTGGAGTTACAGATCTGCCTTTTCCTTGTCTGCTTATTGCATAATGTCCTCCTTCTGCTAGCAGAGTTTACCTCAATTCCAGCTGCTTCTCCCATTTGTCTGCTCCCCTTGTCCCAGACCTGTCTCTGTGCTTTTCTTCATGTGTGCTGCACTGCATCTCGCATGTGCAATGTCCTCCTTTTTCTGACTTTCTCATCTCCAGATTGGTTGGGATCCACTTGTGTCATCATGCCTGTTCAATACGAGCTAAACAGTAATTGGTAATCACAGAATCAGAAAATATACTAAGTTGGAAGGGACCTACAAGGATCATCGAGTCCAACTCCTGGCCCTGCACAGGACCATCCCCAAAAGTCACACCATGTGCCTGAGAATATCATCCAAACACTTCTTGAACTGTGCCAGGCTTGGTGCTGGGACCGCTTTCCTGGGGATCCTGTTCCAGTGCCCAGCCACCCTCTGAGGGAAGAACCTTTTCCTAATATCCAACCTAAACCTCCCCTAACACAGCTTCAGACCATTCCCTTGGGTCCTGTCACTGGTCACCACAAAGATCAGTGCCCTTCTCTTCTTCCCTAATGGACAAGTTGTCAACTGCAATGAGGTCTCCCCTCAGCCTCCTCCTCTCCAGGCTAAACAGACCAAGTGCCCTCAGCCGCTCCTCACACGGCTTCCCTTCAAGGCTCTTCACCATCTTCACTGCCCTCCTTTGGA